GATACAGGGCAACATTATTAATAAACTACATGAGTGTGCCAAGAATATTGTGCTGATATGGGTGCCTGGGCATTGCAACATTTGGGGCAATGAACAGGCAGACAAACTAGCAAAAGCGACTGTGGGTCTCAGGGAGACAACCAATGTACCCTGGGAGCGTCAGTCGTGTCTCTCCTTGGGGAAGACATATACAACAGGGAAGTGGCAACTTGATTGGACGAGGTTAGATCTTCGCAACAACTGGAAGACTAACATAGGAAACTGGCTTTCAGCATACAGAAATAATAGGAGGGAAGAAGTGGTTCTCGCCAGACTAAGGTTGAACTGTACCTATTTGACCCACCTAAAAGCCTATTTAGACAACTCCTTTCCACCTATCTGTGCCACGTGCAACAAAATTCTTTCTATCCGACACATTCTGACGGAGTGCAGCCAGTACGAACCAGAGCGCCGGCAGCTGGTGATGCTAGCTGCCGAGCGAGGCTTCGTGCTGACTGTACCCAATCTATTGCAAGATGATGTCACCATAAGTGACGCTGTAATAATCTTCCTCAAGGAGACCCGTTTTATCGGCATGTTGTGAATGACACACGCATTAACTCTTTTTATATTTATAATATGTATGTAACCATGCCCTAAAGCAAATAAAAATGAATAAAACAAAAATTTAAACATACAACATGAGAGACATATCACAAACCTTTCCATTACATACAACACGCACATATACCAAGTAAAACTGACTCCCACCAACACATATTCAAACAAAAAGACACGGGCTACAAAAGACAAAAAATAAAGAAATAAAAAAAAAAATCACAGAGAAACTAGTCACCTGACCGGCCATTTCATCTGGTCTGTCAGTAACTCACTATCATATCACTCACTCATACCATAATTCATCCCAAATAAAACAACAAGAAGAAAGAAGAAACCAAAATACCAAGAACAAGAAGAACACAAGAATAACAAGAAAAGAAGAAACAAGAACATCAGATTAGTTGTAGCAAGAAAGAAGACCAAGATTAGAAGAAGAAACCTCAAGAAGAAGAAAGAAGACATCAGCTCCGGCCGAAATAGCCTAAAGGCGAAGTGGCCAGCAATCCCCAATACTAGTCTAGTCGTGATTGCACACTTGAGAACTGAACCACGGCGAGGTAGGATCTTTCTGCTCCCGAGGTACCACGTGAACCAGACAATGTTCACCTGTAAACAGGCGAAGGTCGTTAGACTGTATCCAGTCAAGCGCCCTTCGCGCAAGCAACTGAACCTCCATGTCCTGAGGAAGTTTTTTGACTCCTCAGGAATCACGGGGGTGACAAGGTTCGTCCGCAGAGACAGCGGTTGCCTTATCGTCACCTTCGCGGAATGGGGAGAGGCCCAGCAACTAGAAAACCTAAGAGAAATCAACGGGATACAGATCCTAGTTGAAACCTGCCGAGAGGACAACTTGGTTTTGGGAGTCATCTCCCACACAGAAATTGAACTTCTAGAAAAAGAAGAACTGGCCGAGCTGATTGGAAACCAGCTCTCAATAGCACGGAAGCTCACCTGTACAACTGCACTGGTTGGCTACCCAAAGAAACTACCTAGCACCGTCTTGCTGCGATGGGAGAAGATCCCATTAAGACCGTATCAACGAAGGCCTACAAGATGCTACAAATGCCAGAGGTACGGCCATCTGGCTCGGAAGTGTCGTGCTCGGGAGGTGTGTTCCAGTTGCGGGACACCCGGGCACCAGGACACCAACTGCTCGGCGGCCGCCAAGAAGTGCGCAGCTTGTGGTGGCCCTCACTCCTCCTCCGACCGGGAGTGTCCCAAGTGGAGGGAGGAGTGCAGGGTGGCTAAGCTGCGAAGTAAGGAAAGACTGAGCTACAAGGAGGCTCTCCTTGTAGTGAAAAATCAAGAACAGACCAATCAAGACCAGAACAAGACCACAACAAATAAAAATCAAGACCCCAAGAAGACCACGGAAAAAGAAGAAGCCAAAATTAAACCCGATTTTATAACACTATCATTAACGCCGTTTATAGAAGTGTATGAGAATATTCCAGAACAAGACGAAGAAGAAGATTGGAAATTGAAAAGTAAAAGAAGAAACAAGAAAAGGAAGAAGTCCAAAGAAAATGAGTCTACAATCAATCAGCTTCGGCCGAAATAGCCTAACGGCGAAGTGGCCAGTAATCCCCAATACCAATACCAATCGTGATTGTACTAGTATATCCACCAATTCCCCTACATGCAATAAAACAAACAAACATAAAGAAACTGCAGACAATTCAAAACTTAGCCCTAAGGGATGTATATAACACCAGATATCCTGACAGTCACCAACCGTCAACTACACCAACGAGCGCAAATAGAACCCCGAAACGTTTACCTACACGAACACTCAAAAAGAATATGGACAAAGTTAGAAGAAATAGAGCCAGGACCAATCAAAGAATGCATGGAAGAGACAGAAGACGGAAGAAGAGAACACTCGTGGTTCCCTCGCAGTAAAAGAAGAGCCCTAGAACCCACACCAACTCCACTCTATTGAAAGATGCAACGTTACCCCAGTGACAACCTTGGCAGCCCTACCACTAACAACATTAGATCATAAAAAGACGGGATGTTCTTAGCAGAAACACAAGTACCTGCCCTAGACTCCTCACCATTGGCTAGGACATAAGACCCGAAAATGAAAGGCATAAAATTGCAATATTTGCTAAACATACAAACACCTGACATAAATACAATACCTAAGACGAAAATTAGCTGAAACACAAACATGAGAAAACAGAAGCACTTGGGTTGAGCCCCAAGACCTAGCATTCCACAGAGGGTAGGCGTGTAGTAATCGAGTTGGCCGGCAGGGGGGAAACTCCCAGGTGATAGAGACAGTGGCTGGTTCCCCCTCAGTGAGGAGGGGGTTCGCGAGGGCTTGGGAGTAGGTACAGCGGGTGAGTGAGTGGGCGGGTGTCCACTTGCCCAATCCCTCACAACAAGGATTTTATGACTGAACGTCACGTGTTTCCCTTGTTTCCTGGCTTCTTTAAACTGGCCCATTTGCTATAGGCGGGTGTAGTGGAATTCTCCCCTACAAACGCTGTTTGTCGCTGCCTAGCCGACCCCACCAATTCCCCAGTGCCTCGTGGTCTAGGTCAACCAGCGCCGCCATACACCACGGAGCGGGGGTCAACTGCTAAGCCACGCCTACCCCCGCTATTTAAGACCTGACCTCGTGGTGATCTCTCTTTTTCTACCTACAGCCGCAGCCAGCAACACCTCCTCCTCCGTCGCTGCCTGGCGGCCTTCCCTCGCTCCTCCGCCTGCCTGGCGGTCCTCTCTCCCGCTGGCGAGCATGGCGACCCACAAGCTGTCCTTCTCTGAGCGTTCTCACCAACCAGCTCTCTCTACATCACGCTTGTAACCATGCTGCCTTCCCAGCACCAAGCTGCATTGTACATCCAATACAACATGTATATAGAGAGCACATTGTGAGTTTCCTTTCTCCATTCCATCCTGAGTGTGAACCACATATCACGTACCCCACAAATGGTGACCCCCGGAGATTCGCACTCACACAGGATGGAGGAGAAACTGATCACTCTCCCAGTCTTCAAGCAACATGGAATATTGGCTTACCCACGCAGAGGCAGCTCTCATCGGCTCTACAGCTACTATCTCTATACCGCAGGTTAGACACCCTAGAGCAGCTCTGCGACTCTAAGCAGACAGCCGCTCCTCTTCCTGCCCCAAGCACCACGTCCTACCGACCCCAACACACCCGTCCTGCGGAGGTAGGCGTGGCTTAATAGTTGACCTCCGTCATGTAAGGCGGCACTGGTTGATCTAGACCACGAGGCATACACTGGGGAATTCGAGGGGTCGGCTACTCAGCGACAAACAGCGTTTGTAGTGGAGGAATCCACTACAGTATTGTCAAAAGGTGCTGTCAAGGAATTAAATGAAACTAATGTAGAATTTATATTTATTAGTCACAGGACAAGTAAATACGGCTTGACATAAAAGGAAATACTAATTCACACAAGGGTGGTGATCTATGGGAGCTCAGTCTACCAGAGAGTGTGAATTCCTTATAGACCAGACTTGACCAACACTGGAGCAGGTACGGATATATCCTGGAGTACTTGCCAACAGTGTGTAACAGAGACATGACCGACCGCCCAAGCGGCTAACGAGTCGATCAGTGGCGAAGAGGATAAAATTAAAAAGCTTTGTAGCTTCAAAATACCCCTGAACAAGACTATCAAGAAAATGGAGATATCCTACACAGGCCACTGGCTTTCTTTCTTTGGCATGGCCACCTTTAATGGGTGACAAATAGGTAAATAAGGTACCATATGCTAAAAAAGGCACTTATTGTTTTTGCATATTGTATTATCAAGAAAAGTAAATATTTATATTCATCATCCTTTTAAGAAGAGCAGTGATGCCATAATTGCCAAACCTTTAACCTTATTCTCTCGTTGGGCGGTCGGTCATGTGTTATACACTGTTGGCACTGAAAAAAATTAAGAATGTTTAATCATTCGTAATTTTCTTGGGAAAACGTAAGATATAGTATATTACAACATAATTCATTAATGTTTGTAATGCAAAGTGGAAGTCATAGCTTTGACCTAATGAAATATTTCCATCGAAAATATTAAAATAACGTAATAATCTTAAATGAAAGTCGTCAATAAAATGTAATTTCATTTACAAGATAAATTGATTTATTACATTTCGTAATTTTCATTGATGGGAACCAAAAATCATATTATATACATACATATTTCCACAGGTTATTCAAGTAGGTACTAAGATGAATAACGTATAGTATCATGATTTCTAATGGTTGGTGACATGCATTTGCTAACGTAGAGTACACATTTAAAGACGGTAGTTGTTGAAGGACAGTCATACATAATAATATTAACTGCTGGTACAGTAAAAATTTTTTGGAATAGATGAACACCGTAGGGTAGATTTTGTAAAATTGTAATTGGTAACAGTGATTAGTGGTGGGCGGATGAGACAACCCAAGTGACTATTACTTGTACTTAGTTTATTTGTGGTGAGTAGCTGTGGTAAGTGTGGCAATGATCTAGGCCAGTATAAGAAAGCTTGATAAAATTGCAGATTACAGCAACCAAAGAATCTGATAAAAAAAATGTTTTTCTGATGGTGTTTGATGTGATTGGTTAAAATCTGACATTCGTTTTTATCGGAAATCACTCGTTTTGGATTTAGCCCCCATCCCCCCATCCCCCCTCCTCTAACAATAATGGGGGAAAGCGTGGGAATTCGGGATCATGGGTGGGGTTAAGTCAAAACGAGTGATTAGTGGTAGAAGCGAATTTCAAAATTGTCCGAATCACAACAAGAAAACATCGGAACATGTAAATTTTTTACTTTAGGACATGATTCCCTAGGTGTTGAGCAATATGTTTTTCCAGTGTATTTTGGTGTGTTTTAAACGAATCTGACCTTCATTTTTGGCGGAAATTGCTCGTTTTTGCCCCCCCCAACAATAATGGGGGAGAGCCTGGGAAATTGGGGTTTTTGGGTGGGGGAGAAAACAAAAACGAGTCATCTAACCTAACTTAATCTCACCTAACCCGTAGCCGGGATCTCCGCCCCGGGACTCCCGGTAGGCCTAGCTTAAATTAACATAAAAGTCTCAGTAGTTGAAAACTTTGGGGAGCGCCATGTCCAACAGTACAATACCTTAGTGAGAAGTGGGAGGACCAGGGATATGTAAGAGTTGCGTTGGATGATCATCTTTCTCATAAAACTCGGCAATAAGCTTAAAATAATCGTAGGAGCACAAATCACAACCAACCTCCACCACGGCCATTCTGAGACTGGTTAATGAAATTACCCAGACTGCTTCCTTTGAAAAAAATCAAATGTGATTGGTCGAAAAAAATTTGCGTGATGATATCGATACATCATTGGTCATGACTGAATGATGTCAGTCAATACTGTGCATGCGTGATGCGCCGTTAACATCTCCTCACAAACGAAGACTGAAACCTACTTAAAATCAATTAAATTCAATTGTGTCGCTATTATCCATTTCCACCATGTACATTTGGGGTTCAAAATGCTCAGAATAGCGAGATCTAAATGTTTCAGTAGTTTATAACTTTCGGGCACACTATGTCCTAAAGTAAAATAATACCGAAGAACACATTATGCAACAGGAATTCTGTTACATACGAAAAAATAGTAGAAATAATAGTTCTATCGATTGCGTGTTCTGAATTTCCAGTACTTTGTGCTTGCTAACTTATACAATATAACCAAACTAAACCTTACCTAACCCGGGTCTAAACAGGGGCTTCACTCCTGGACTCCCAGACGCTATGCAGCGTCTCACTGCTGCATATCACCGACCACATCTCCTGCAGGAAATTCCTCGTTGACACAGGTTCATCGGTCAGCGTCATCCCTCCCTCCCTCACCGCAAGACACATCGAAGCAACCCTCATATGACCTGTTTGCTGCCAACAGTACCCCCATCGCCTCCTACGGCGCACACATCCTCGCCTTAGACCTTGGTCTTCCCAAGACTGTGCTGGTCCTTCGTGGTGGCAGACGTCTCTCAACCCATCCTTGGCTTTGACTTCCTCACCTTCCAAAAGCTCGTCGTTGACCCAAGCAACCTCTGCCTCATGCATGAGCCTACAGTACACACGATCCGGGGTATGCGTGCCGCAGTCACTGACACCATCACCTGCCTCTCGCCGTCCAACGAGTTCTCCTTCCTGCTCAAGGAGTTCAAGGAATTATTCTCACCCCGAATCACTCCACTACCACCTATGTCGGGAATCTTCCACCACATCGAGACTACAGGACCTCCAGTCTTCTCACGCCGCCTTCGCCCTGAGCTCCTGAACGCAGCCAAGGCGGAATTCAACAGACTCCTGCAAGACAGCATCATTCGAGCTTCAAAGCGTCCCTGGGCATCTCCTCTTCACATGGTTCCAAAGCCATCATCCAACGACTGGAGGATATGTGGTGACTACAGAGCCCTGAACCTCGTCACCAAACCTGACAGGTACCCGATCCCGCATGTCCAGGACATCCACCACAAACTCCACAGCATGACCATGTTCTCGAAGATCGACTTATAGCGTGCTTTCCATCAGATTCCAGTGGCACCTACAGATATCCAGAAGACTGCCCTCACCACTCCGTTTGATCTCTTTGAGTATGCCTACATGAGTTTTGGACTACGCAATGCAGCTCAGACCTTCCAGAGGTACATGGACCACATTATTCGCGACCTTGACTTTGTCACCGTCTACATAGACGACATTCTCATCGCATCTCCGACACCTGCCGAGCATCATCACCACCTACAGCTCCTTCTCCAGTGCCTGCGGAACAACAACATGAAAGTTCATCCCGCCAAGTGCATCTTCGGAGCCCCCTCCATCGACTTCCTCGGTCACAGAGTCTGGTTGAGTGGCATCAAACTCCTACCACAGAAGGTAACTGCCATCAAGGAGTTCCCCAAACCTGAAATGGCGAAGAAGCTCCGAGAATTCCAGGGTTTATTCAACTACAACCACCGCTTCATTGCCCAGGCTGCTAACATTCTCGCTCCTCTCCACGATCTTCTCAAGGGACTCCCCAAGACGTCTCACAAGCCTCTCATATGGACTCAAGAGGCTTTTACAGCATTCACCACTATCAAGCAGCACATCACACGCCTTACCCTGATGGCTCACCCTGCCCCCAACGCCCGTACCACTCTTACAACAGACGCTTCTTCTACTACCGTGGGCGCCGTCTTATAACAGGAGATCAACAGAACTCTCATGCCCATTGCCTTCTTCTCACAGAGTCTTAAACCACCTCAACTCAAGTTCAGCGCCTTCGATCGAGAGCTCCTGGCCATATATCTTGCTGTCAAGCATTTCCAGCACTTCCTTGAGGCCCGTCAGTTCACCATCTTCACTGATCACAAGCCATTCGTCCAAGCCTTCACTTCAGCTTCCCAGACACATACACTTCATGTTCTTCGCCACTTGGCTTACATCTCAGAGTTCACCAGCGACGTCCAACACAACAAGGACAGCCACAACGAGACCACCGACACCCTCTCTCATTGTATATCTAGCTTTCTTCCCTCATCTTCACCGATGGATTACACAGACAGCTCGCCGTAGCTCAAGAGAACGACGAAGACCTTGCAGCATACAAGACATCTCCCTCAGGTCTCGCCCTCCAAGAACTCCCCGTTCCCGGCACGAACATCAAGTTGTGGTGCGACATGTCCTGTGGGCAGCCTAGACCGTTCGTGCCTCACATCCACCACTGCGCCATCTTCTACCGCATCCATAGTCTCAGCCACCCAGGTGTATGAGCCTACCAGCGCCTTCTCACGCAGCGTGTCATTTGGCCTGGCATCAAGGCCGATACTCGGAAATGGGCTGCCCAATGCCTGGCCTGCCAGTCCTCTTAGATACATCGACACACACGGCTCCCTGAGAAACCTTTCCTGTACCCAGAGGATGCTTCCAGGTAGTGCACCTCGACATCGTGGGACCTCTTTCAGCATCCTGTGGCATTACCTACATCTTCACCTGCATTGACCGTTTCACCAGGCGGACAGAAGCCATTCCCATACCTAATGCTACAGCAGAGTCAGCCGTCCACGCCTTCCTGTCTGATTGGGTCTCCTGTTTCGGTCCTCCCACGACTGTCATCACTGACTGAGGAGCCCAGTTTGAGTCACAACTCTGTCATAATCTTCTGCAGTTCCTCGGCACTTCCAGGCACTGCACTACTGCTTACCAACCTCAGTCCAACGGCATGGTAGAGTGGTTTCATTGTCAGCTGAAGGACGCCATGAAGGCACAGCATGACCCCTACAGCTGGACGGATGCTCTACCCTTAATGCTCCTTGGCATCTGTGCATCGCACAAAGAGGACATGGACGGCAGCCCAGCAGATCTCACCCTAGGCGAGCCGCTTCGCTTACCCGGGGACTTCTCACTTACTCCTGACCTTGACCACTTCACTCCTGCTGCTCGTCACTACCTACTGCAAACAGTACGACAAGCAGTTTCTGCATTCAAGGCTACTGCCCGTTGCCAGCCTTCCCATCACCCTGAACACATCCCTCCTGCAGTACTCAACGCCTAGTATGTCTTCGTCAGGCGCGATGCTCACTGCAACCCACTTCAACGTCCCTACGACGGACCCTTCCCGGTGTTTGCACAGTCAGCGAAGTTCCTGACGATCATTCACAATGGCAGACACGACACCGTCAGCATCGATTGAGTGAAGCCGGCCACCTTACCCGATGGTGCCCCAGCCCAGCATTACCCCCAGCAAACCACGCCTGTACCAGTCTGCCCACCTTTGCCGCTTGCAGCACCACCTCGTTCACAACATTTCTGTGTGCCCTCCTGATCCTGCTCCCGATGTGGACCCTGCTCCTGATGAGGGTCCTGCTCATGAGGTGGACCCTACTCCTGATGAGGATCCTGCAACTGGCCCTGTGGACCCAAACATCCCACCCAGCACCCCTGAGGGCTTCGCACCTGCCGCGAGAGAAGCACCACATTCCTCCCGCCACTCAACTTTCTCGTATCTACAACCCTCCCCCTCCAGATGTTTTTCCCCCCTGCTTCTCCCACAGATTATATAGATTATGTGTCATTCGACGGAGTCGTCACTCGTAGCAGCTGAGTGGTTCACACCCCTGCCCGCTATGTCTCGCATGTGGGATACAACCCTGCCTACAACACGTCTCCTGCCGCGCCCAGAGGGGAGGGGGAGCATTGTAGTGATCTACTCTTCCTACAACTCCTCTCCCGTCCTCGCTTCAGCCATTCAGCAGCGAGTTCCAGACCACAGTCTCTTCCCTCGAATCGCTCGCTGATTGGTCACCTGCCGTCTTCGCCCAGTCAATCAGCTGCGCCGCTCGCCTCACACCTCTGAACCTGATCCGGCAGAATCGTATAAATTCTCCTAGCCTCGCCGTGAGGGTCATTCTACTCAACGTTCTCCAACGGACAGAACCTCCTCTCAACAAGCTCCTCACTACACAGTAAC